TAGGAACTTACCCAAGCCTGGGTCCAGTTCCCAGCCATAGGCCTGTGTTGATCACAAGCTTATTAAACGTTGTGTGGTTGATATTACTTCAGAACATGCTGAGCAGGCAATTTTCCTGGGTTTGATTGGATCTTCCTGTAATTTTATAGAAAAAAAGATCTCCCATAGTAATTCCTATCTTCGCTGTGCAATTACATAGAACTGTCAGACACTCTTAGCACCAGAACAATAAAAGCTAAACAGAATTTTTCTTAATTCCCAAGGAGGAAGAGTTAAGCTAACGGTGAAAGACAGACTGTGTTGGGTAGGAAATCTCAGCTAGGCCTTGACTACTATCAGGGGGCTGTAGGCAGATGCAGGACTGATGTGTTGACACCTTGGATTCATGGTTTTATATCCCTAGTAATGTGACTGAGAATTGAAAAAGAGGTGATGTAAAATGGGACCTATCTATAAGACAGTTCGAAGGACATGTGGATAAAATGATTAGTAGCTTTGTCAGTATCTCCATGTCTTTCAAGCTATTCCTTCATATGAGTGTTTATAATGCTTAGAGCAATATTTCTTATGTGGCTAAAATACTATAAAATCAGGAATCCCCAGCTACCGAGGCTGTTACCTGAAGGATCCTAAAGGGTTTCATGGACAAACCCGGGGAGTGAAATACAACCTTAATGAAAGCAGTTTGCAGCTCCCAGAGACTCAAGAGGGCTGCATCTTTTTACGTCAGGATTGAATTTGGTCCAAAGTGTACAAAACCTGCGTTGTGCCTTAAAGCTAGTTGAGAATTTGTGGCTCGCTATCTCTCAGTTGGGAAAGGTCAGCTTTGAGATTTCCAGGTCAGAACTGTTTGACAAGGATTTAGTGTCATCCACAACTTGGGACAGGCTAACAGGCTTTCTTGTTTAAAGGCAATGCTGTAACTGTAAAAAGAGGCTAAGAGGGCAAAACTCGGAGGAAAAAAGATGACGATTTGTTTAAGTGATTTATCCTTACACTTCAAGACTCTCAGACAAGAAGAAGGTTCCTCTGGTATGAGGCATGACTGACCTATCTTTCCATTCTTGCACTGCTGAGTTATTACAGTTTTGAAATATAAATAGGAAAGACTTTATAATCTATGGGGTAATCCGCATGGGCTAATTTCTACCTTCCTGGAAAGCCTAGATCCTTGCTTGGTGAAACAGGGCACTGTGGAAGCTTAGCCAACTTTTCCTGTCATTTGGGAAATCAAAGACAGCACAAGAGACGAGCAGTGAGACGCACCGTTTAGTTACCGCTAACCCTTCTAAGCATTCCTGGTTTTCCTAGGCTATATGGCTGGACAGTTGGAATTATGCTGTAGCACAGGACATTGCACTGGCCTCTTGTGTACCATATGCCTTTTCGTTGACAAACTAACACTTTTTTAATGAGAGTTTCTGAGGTTGTTATCCAAACTACATTCCTTATCCCAGATCTCATCTTTAGCACCTCTCCCAGAGGTATCTGGGAGTTTGGACCCAGACATGTATGCGAATCCAGGGCTTGATCAGGTCCCAGTGAAGTCAATAAAAATATTGTTGGTGCTGAACAGATATCCACTAGGCTCAAATGAAAAGTAAAACCCAACCAAGAAAAAGCGGGAGACACATTACAGGTTCTTTTTTTAATCAAAGCATGCCGCCTTCTTCTCTCTCCCTCCCTCCCTTTACATTTTTTTTGACTGTCTTAACTTTATAACTAAAGTAACTGAGAAAATGTTTAATTTTTAAAATGTTGAATAATTCTGGACCAATGCCCCAAAAATATCATGCGACCTTCCTGATATACAACTCTTGATTTTGGAACTTACTGATTCCAGTCAAGAATTTTTGGTGAAGCTAAAATACTGAAATGTAGAAAAAGAAATATTAGGAGGTTGAGAAATGAACTTTTGTTTGCAGGTATCACCATTTCCGGAAAAATGGAAAAAGACAAAAGAACACCTGCAGAACTTCGGTGCGTTAAATATTTCATAAGCATAACCTCAGGGTTATGTTAATGTAATCATTTACATGGGAATATTAATTTTTGAAACGTTTGTTGCATTAGTTAACCTGTTCTTTACAGAAGTGTTAGGCTTTCGAAGCAGCCTCTGGGAGCTACAGAGGCAGGTGCTGGTCTGCCATTCTCCGCGCAGCCCACCACCACGGTCCTGATCCTGCGAAGCGTTACAGATCTGCACATCATTCCCTTGCAGATAGAGTGGCCGGGCTGAGATGCTATTTGCAGGCTAGGACGAGACTGGAAAGCCGCATCCCTTTTGGAGTCCTGCAGCTAGAGAGCACCTGTTCCTGGCACCCGCCTGGGGACGTGGAGAGGAAACACGAGATAAGAAGCGCTTTCGGTTCCCACGCGTCCGTGTTTGACCCGGTGCAAGACAAGGCACCCGGTGCTGCTGGGTCGCGGGAGGGAAGCCGGTGGAGTCGGACTCCGCCGGGGTCCCGCTCCCCTCGCCTTCCCGGAGCCCAGGCTGCCTTCCAGCCCTTCACCTCGGCAGAGAGTGAGCTGCTTGCCCGTCTCCTCTCCCCCTCCGGGCAGTGCCAGGGCGGAAAGGGCAGATGAAGAAGAAAATGCAGACATCTGCCCGTTGCGGCGTCCCTGCCGGAGCACGAAGCGGGGGAAGGAAGGCGAGGGGACAGGGTGAGTGGGTGCGTGTGTCAGCCAGCGGGGGGATGATCCGAGTATCTGAAGTCATCCGAAAGGTCAAAGCAAGCATTAACTCTTCCCCGCCCTCTCTCCTCCTCGGGGGCTCGGGGGAAATCACAGTCCGCCCAAACTAGATGACAGCTTGCCGGGACTTAATGACAGGCTGGGTGCAGACGAGCCGCGGCCGCCCAGACAAAGGCAGGAAGTTTGGTGCTGCCGCCGACCCGAGGAAGGTGCAGGGGCAGGGGAC